GCATTCATGTGCAGCTCCTCTGGCGAGCAGTCAGCACCCTTCCAAATGCAAATGCCCTACTTGCAGAAGGCATCTGTTCCGGTGGTGAAGACCGGCCAAATGCATACCGGCACGTACCCATGATCCCTGAGCATTCGGACCTTGCCATCGTCGCCTACTACGACCACCAAGTCGGGGAGCCTCGTTTCCGTCGCTACTATGGTTCACTGTTTGGACTGCCCAATGCTGTGTGCTCGTTCAACCGGTTCCCTCGTTTCTTTCAGGCCGTTTGTCGACGCATGGGCTCTTGCCTGGCCAGCATGTATTTCGATGACCTGACTGTTCAGGACCTGGGCAGCATGAAAGGTTCAGCCCAACAGTTCATTACCTCTTTGGCTACAGAACTTGGATCGCCCTTCCAACCGGAGAAGCATCAAACTATGCAAAGCCAGTCTGACTTTCTGGGGCTGGTACATGATGTGGGAAAATGCCATCACTAAGGTCACGGACATCATGGACGAAGCAACTCAATCGAAACGACTCCCGCCAGGCCTTGCTGCCAAGCTGTTCGGTTGCCTGGGCTTCCTCAACGCGGGCTGTTTTGGTAAGCTGGGGAGATCGGGGTTGAGCCCCCTGAAGGAACGTCAGTACTCTCACGACATGGCGTTGACTGAGGACCTTTCACGTTCGTTTGTGACCATCAAGTCCCTCCTCGCCTTGCGCCCTGAGCGAGAACTACCACTTCAACCCGGTAGCCAGCAACGCTACCTGGCGGCATCCGATGCGGCCCAAGATGAACCTCGGCAAGGTTCGGCGGGCCTACTATTTGTTGGACCTCGTGGTGAACGAGATGCCTATGTTGTTGACATTACGGCGGAACTCTTCGACCTTCGGTCCGACCACCCTACCAAGATCGCCCAGTTGGAGTTGCTTACGGTTTATGTGGGCTTTATCTTTGTAGCCAGTCAGGCACGCTCCTGTCAGGGGCTCTGGTTTGTGGATAACATCGCAGCGCTGATGGCCTTGGTCAAGGGCAGGAGTGACAACCCTGAGTTGGACACTATGGCAGGGTGTATCCATGCTCTACTGTGCTCGCTGCGCAGTGGGTGTTACTTTGAATGGGTCCAATCAGCAGACAATTGGTCCGATGGTATTAGCAGGCAAGGGATTCACGATAAATGGTATCAGGCTCATGGATTTCGTGTACATCGTGTTCCAGTACCTCTTCTCCTCCTCCGCCTACCATACATCCTTATAAATCGTGTCTTCCAGTTCTTCTGAGTGCTTTGGGTATGTTTGAATGCATTGGGAATACCTGGCAGAGGTATGCACCAGGGGTGCACGCTGCGTGGGCTGCTGTGACAGGGTCACATTAACCAAAGCACTTTTGAACCAAGACTTTCAAGCTTGCGCGAAAAAGAATTTAGTCCGAGTCTGACTCGTCGCATCTCAAGTTAAGTGTAACTGATGCAGCCGAATATATTCATTCATTCAAAGTAGGCAGGGTCGGTGATGAGGAATTATTTGATGTCATTCAGTTCACTCACTCCTTCTCAAGCCAAAAAGGAGTGTCGCTCCACAAGAATCAGTGTCGCTGATTCTCAGATTTTTGTCCCACCCACCACACCCTGTGCTCGGTACGAGTGGTTACAGGTGCTAGTGGCAGCTGTCGGCCTGAGTCTCCACGTTTGCGGTGCATCCGAGTGGTATTTTTCGGCCTGTGTGATGTCGTCCACGGAGTGGCCTTGCTTGTGGTAGCAGTCTGCAGGTGTCCACGGGTTACTGCAGTTTGATGATACTATCTGCTCTCTTGATCTAGCTTGGCACGTTGCCAGCGCAGTTTCTTCCAACCGGTTCGTTGAAGCTTCATGGCCTCCAGTGGTCGCTGTCAGCTAAGTACCACGGATGAGGACCGTGATTTTTCCAGTACGATGCGATTGACGATCACCCTGGCGCAGTCTGCCGAAAGCCAGAGGACTTGCAGCTGTCGGCTTGGCCAAATGCTCTGGCAATGAGCCAATGGACTGGTGCTGTCTGCGTGATACCATGGTGTCCATTCTCCCTTTTCCTGTTACCGAATTGATTGTTTTTAGTGGCTGCTGTCGGCAAGAGGCCATAGCAATTGCAGCTGTCGGCTTGGCTAAATACTCTAGTCATGAGTCCAGATACCATTTTCATCAGTGACATTGCGGAGCAAATGTAGGTCACTGTGTTGGCAGTGCAAGAGTGGGGACTCTTGGGGTACTGCGCAATTTATTTTGTTATTTCCACTCCAACATAGTCATAGGACTGACATTCAGTATCCTCTTGACTATTTTAAGGAGTCTACCAGGTACAGGTAGGGAACGAATACCTGGCAGAGGTATGCACCAGGGGTGCACGCAGCGTGGGCTGCTGTGACAGGGTCACATTAACCAAAGCACTTTTGAACCAAGACTTTCAAGCTTGTGCGAAAAAGAATTTAGTCCGAGTCTGACTCGTCGCACCTCAAGTCAAGTGTAACTGACGCAGCCGAATATATATATATATATACCTACTAACACACACATTTGTGTATAATCATCCATATACATGTTTATCTACAGTATAGTTAATGGAGTTTAAAACGTTGCATGTTGCCAAGCGTGTTCCATGGGCTGGAAGGCATTAATGCTGGTACCAGCTCAATGGTACAGTACACCTCCCCAATGCTCTTCGGAATGTGTTGAACACAAGGTCCTCTAAGCAACATCCTTACTGTTTAGGAAGTCTTGGCAGCAAAGGTTGATGGTTCTGGCCACACTTGGCCCATCCCCATCTGAGGTGGCAAGACCTTCCTGGTTTATCCGGCCAATGTCTTATGCTGGCTGAACTTACTTTTTGCACAGGGGCTTTGGCCACCCTTAGCGCGGGGTTGTGCTGTTGAGGCAATTACAGAAGACCGTTCTCCACTGAGTTGCCACATGCTACATTCCTGATAAGTTTGGGGCTGGACGTGGTTGCACGCAAGGTGTGCGTGATCTTGAAGAAGGGCTGTCAGAGCTGACCAAAAAAGTGAACGATTTGGAAATGAGGACAGGGTGGACAGGTCAATGCATGCTGGCAAAAGACCCCTCACGAAGCATCAGTTTCTTTGTGAAACTATATATGTATACTGTATATTTGTCTATCTCAGTTTGTTTTACTGTATATGCTATTTCGGGATTTCTTTTATTTATCACGAATGAAGTGACACAGATTGGCAGGACTTCCGGACATCAAGACGAATGAGTCACACAGGACTCGCTGGGCATGGGCCCGGCATGGGCCCTACAAGAGTGGCGGTGAAACAACCCGTGCACCACCTGTGCACCTTCAAAAATGCACAGCACGTCAAGATACAGTCATAGTATGTCATAGTTCCCATGCTGGCTCAAGGATTGTGGCTGGGGTTGCCGATTTGAGCTGGGAGATCAGTAGCCAAACAGATATCCAATGCAACATTAAGTACAGTCAGCGAACAGTGGTCAACATCGCGATACGAGAAGACACAAGACAACCGATCATTTGTTCATTGGTATTTCACGAAGTTTGTGGCAATGTATGGGCGGCTGTGGTGTGGTTTATTGTTTTGGCTTGCAAGCAGTGAGCAGGGAATGAGTGATGCCATTGGCGAAGAAGAGGTCCCGACAAAGACATCGCGGCCATGGTACAGAGTCTATGATCCTCGGCAACGTAGCAATTGATCGTCATTCTCATCTACAGTGTTCGACTTTCCATGGGTTTCCTGAATTCCTCCGCGCCGTCTCATTTGGAGTCATTGAATGAAAGCAAACCCATCAACACATGGATGCATTCGGACCTTTGCAATGGCACACTGCATGTAAGTATGCAACTCTGGTATTGTGTAATTACGCTACTAGGAGCAAAGGGCATTGTTAGTAGGAGCAAGAGGACGCCACTAGGGGCTCCTGGCCTTTCTACTAGGAGCAAGAGGACGCTACTAGGAGCAAAGGGTCATGTCGTGGCGGCTCCAGACTGGTTCACAGAAACAAAGAGCCTGGTTGCTGGTTGCACCGAACTGTGCATACTGTTTTCAAGATTTGTGTTTTCCTCCCTGCATGTTTCGTCCAATTAGTGATCGCACCTTTTTTTCTCCCACCTCTTGAACAACAAGCCCAGAAAGGACATGAAGGGAGCACCAGGGAATCCTTGCATATTGCCTCTTCGTGCATCCCAAATGCGTATATAAGCATGTTTACACAGATGAAAGTCGGTCAGTATTCAATATTCGATATGGGGACATGTGACAATGTGAAGAATCACGAGAGGCCATCATTTTTTGGTGACCCGACCCTTCCCAAATCCAATACCTCAACACAGGAAAGCAACTTCAAGAACATTACGTTCTTTGTCTTGGGCATTGTAGTGGTTGCTGGATTTCTGGGTGACAAGTACTACGAGCACTTGGCGAGACAAAGGAGAAAGCAGCGAAAGCAGGGCACCTGTGATACGCCAGATTGTGCAAAAGAGAGGTCAGACCGTCACGCCATCCTTACCGCTGTGCGAAGGGTTGTGAAGAAGAATTGGCCACACGACCGGGCATGAAAGAAGGGCGAACTAGCTGCTGGAGAGAAACAACGCCTCTTGACGTTTACGTCACGACGCGGCGAAGCGAGCAGAGGACGTGTCTACGTCAGATGCCTCGTGAGGTGAGCGTGTGCTGGCAGGCTGCACATGTCGGCCAGCTTTGGATCCCAGCCAGTTTCTTGTGTCAACAACAAGAGCATGCGCATGTGGCATCAAAATCAAAAGAGGAGCGTGCTTTGTGATGCACAGTAGGCGGTTTGCGTGATGTATGCGGATGAGTGCTCTTCACTATGATTGGTGTATGCAAGGTGCATGGGGCAGCTGCACGTGCCCTCCTTTCGGATGCAGTACTGAGAGAAGTGCCGTTGGAAAATGTTGTGAGTGGTGCGTGGGTTGCGTCTTTTGCTCACTGTTCCATCCATGTTTGCTGCACGTGATGAAGCAGATCAGCGGCACGAGTATGCCTGTGGCATTTTGGCTCAGTCCTTTGAACATTGAGACCACGCATTACTGACCATGGGCAGGGAGGCAAGGAATTGGAGTTGGGGAGTTTCAAGGGCATTGCGAGTGTATTTTTTGACTGTAGGTGCGTGGGGGCTGGCTGGTACTCGTTGTGGCAGGCTGGAGGGCCAGGACAGGTTGAGATTTCCCACCAACAGAGGCGACAACATCTGAGAAAGAGGTAGGAAACTAATAGACTTTAGGCCCGGCATCCGGACATTGCAGCATGTAATAGAGTGGACCTTTGCATATTGAAACGCAACACAGCGCCGGACGCTTCGGGCAGCTGCTCCCAATACTAAGCGAGGTTGGATCCCAAATTCATCGATAAGCGTGCCATGGGCAAGTTCTTGTTCCCCACATCTATGTGTGGGGTTCTTGTTTTTCCGGCTGCATCCCGCTTCCTCCTCCTCGCCTCCTCCGCCTCCTCGCCACTGACAACTCACACATCACCGACTCACATATATAAGCATCAACTTACAGACATCAACTCTACACACATCAACTCAGACATATCAACAACAAACAACCACTCACATATATTATCAACACATACCCACACGCATCATCAATGAACGACACACACACACACATCATCAATCAACGACACACACACACACACTCACACACACACACACATCAACTTACACACATCAACAAGGCGCCGCCGCCTTGTCTGCGCCTTGTCTGGGACGTGCTAGAGGGCCTGTGCTGGTCGCTGGGCGCCGCCGCCTTGTTTGGGACGTGCTAGGGGGCCTGTGCTGGTTGCCGGTCCAGCGCAACAGATGATGCACTGACACGCATCCGCTCAGTCGTGCTGGAATTATGTCTTACTCTTGGAGTGTGCTCAGAAACTCTAACTCGCATATATACATCCTCATTATCCACTTCTGACCCACCAACACACATCAACTCACACACATCAACCAACTGACTATCTCTCTATCTATCTATCTATCCATCCATCGATCTATCTATCTATCTATCTATCTATCAAGCCTCTGTGCTCATCAGCGGCCACGCCCGGCCACGTCACCGTGGGATGTGACCATGTGGCGGTGGATGCATTTGCTGCTCCTACTGGCGGCGCTTTGTGCACTGCTAGGCTGCAGCTCCTCATTCCTTGAAACTCGAGATCATCCCGCTGCTGAGCACCTGGGTCCCAAGTCCCAGGCCTTTTCATTTGAGCCCCTTGTCTTGCACAGTTTTCGCTCTGGGAAAGGCAGAGGTGAGGGTGGAGAGCAGGCTAGGATGCTCTCTGAAGGGGGAAAGATCCACCAAGCCCCTTGTTTGCATCGCCCCGAAATACCTAGCCGAGGGCAGATTGAGTCCCGCGGGACAAACGATTTTCGAGTATCTCCCAATCTTCGAACTATACGGAAACGTAGTTTTGCCAGAATGCAGAAGCGATTGATGCTTCATGGTTTTTCGACTTACAGGGGTCGTGTTTACACTTGCATCCCAGTTGAACCTGCACCTGTTCCCCCTGTTTCGATGAAGCCGCAGCACACCAGTCGGAACAATCGACATCGACTTACGCATATGAGCTGGAACCGCTGCTCCTTGACCACAGCTGCATTCTCTGAGCTTTTGATCTGGCTCTCCTTGCAGAGTGTTGATTTGGTATTTCTTCAAGCCACCAGATGGAACCTGGAGCAGCCGTGGTCAAGCTATGGCTACCACATCGTCCCCTCTGCCTCCGCTGCAAGGGACAATGCTGGCCTCCTGACCTTGATCAGCTCCCGAGTTTGCACCCAAGATGACATCTCCTTCAGTGACCCTTGGCCTGGAAGACTACAGCTGGTCAAATTTAGAACTAAATGGGGGACGATTGACTTGCTTAATTCCTATCAGTTCACAACGCAGTCCACCCAGGGACGGCCTGCTCCTTTTAAAGCCCGACGTAAGCTTTGGGATGCCCTTGAACTGCAGATTAAGTCCGCTCCCTATCGGAATGTTCTTATGATTAGTGGTGATTTTAATACTAGTCTTGACCGATCTCATGCTTCCTCCTTTCAAGATGCTGGCATTCTTCGTAATCTCATTCGTGATTTTGGCCTGACAAGTCTCCGTGTCCATGACGCTAGTCCCACCTTCATCGGTCCCAGGGGAACATCCCGGATTGACTTTGTGTTCATGCGCCGTGCGCAAGCTGATAAGCAGGCTCATGGGTCGTTCTGTTTGACCACCTTTCCATTGATTCAAGCGCGGGCCTTTCCTGATCATTTGCCCATCCTCAGCAGCATTCCCGTGGACTGGAAGGTATGGTACTGTACCAAGCAGAAGCCCAACATCACCCTGACAAACAGGATCTGATGCAGATTGACCATTATCACAAGGCCAACACTTCACGTTGGCAGGACTTCCAGACAAAGATCCAGGCATCTCTTGCCTCTGACCGAGCCTTGGATGTCCAGTTCCCAGTTCGGCAGATCATGATGCTAAGTAAATCTATGTTTCCAACGGCACCAACCAACAAACTTCCACTGTGGATGAAGGAAAGCACCCGGTCCCTGGTTGCACGAAAGTGGAAACATCTTCATTTGGCCAGGCAAGGTCTCACATGCCGAGAACCGCTCTCGCTTTGTTTCCATGCTTGGTTTCATGTGAGTCGTTTTTTCGATGTCACCGTCTAGCCAAACACTGCACTGAGCAGAAAAAGGAAAGGTTTCGCTCCATCACAGCTGACGCGGCCAGGGCTGCTGCTGCGCATGACACTCGAGCTCTTTACCAAGCCATCCGCTCTCTGACTCCCAAGCAGGTCCGACGCATGGTTCGTTTTCGGGGCACTGCTGGGGAACCATTGCTGGCGGACCAGGAGATTCGGTACTTGGAACAACATTTTGCTCCTATCTTCCAGACTCAGGAGGCTCAGCAAACGCCACTTACATGTGCGCCAGTCTTGCTTACAGAAGCAGAAATAGTTTTTCAACTTGCACGCACCAAGAAGTACAAAGCAGTAGCACCATCCACGATTCCAGCGCTGATGATCAGGGCTCTTGCACCCGCTCTTGGAGAGTGGCTTCACAGATACCTTCATCAATCCTGGAGGACTGCACCGTGTATACCGCAAGAATGGAAAGATGCAACATTGGCGCTTCTGCCGAAACGACTTGTTCTTACACCTGGTGATCTGCGTCCGATAGCTCTGACTTGTGGATTGGGGAAAGCAATTCTGGGAGGATATGTTCGACGGACCCATCATGAACTTCATTCTCGAATGTGTCAGCTCCCCTTGGTTGCGTATCTACCCAACAGAGGAGTATTAGATGCACTACTCATCATTTTTGACTTCTGTGATCATGTTCGTTCAGAATGCCGTCAACTTGCTCCAGGACCATGGCGCCTGCGACCTGCCCCCAAGGACAGTTTTCGTGGTGGCCTCATTCTTTCCCTTGATCTCGAACAGGCTTTTGACAGACTTCCTAGACCACAGCTTGCTCAAGGTCTGCATTCTTGTGGATGCCCACCGGAGCTGAGCACGGTGCTGATGCACTGGCTTGAGGGAGCTAGATATGCCATAGTACACAGAGGTCACACCCTACAGATTCCAACTTCAAGGGGAGTTCGACAAGGACGCAAAGCCTCCCCTCTGGAATGGAATGCCTTCATGGTTTTTCTCCTTCAGTGTTTGGAACATGACCTCCGTGCGCATTGGCCTCACCTAGAGCCTGATTGGATTCCCCGTCACCTCCTGGTGTATGCTGACGACATTTTAGGTCGTTGGATGTTGGAGAAGCCAGAAGATCTTTCAAGCGCGTTGACACAAATCGGCGTGCTTCTTGATCTCCTTGAACATCATGGCTTGTGCATAAGTCAAGAAAAGACAGTTCTGCTCATTAAACTTGCAGGGGTACAGAGCAAATCCATCATGAAGCGCTTGATCGTTCATCAACAGGGACACCGATGGATCAAGATTCCACGAAGAGGACAACACACATTGTTGAAAGTTGTGGAGTCTCACCCCTATCTTGGGGTCAAGATCAGCTTCAACACCTTCGAGCAACAGACGCTCAAATACCGAATGCACTTGAGTCAAACCACCAATCTTCGACTCAAGAAATGGCTCTGTGGGAGAAATGGCCTCACAACACGTGATCGTTTGCAACTTTGGCAAACGTGTGTCCAGACCAGCCTGAGCCATGGATTGTGCAGCGCTGGACTCAGACAGGACGGACTGCAGCAATTGATTCATCGACTCAGTGCTGACATCCGACGTATTGCACCGTCACCTGCGCACATCACCCACGAGACAACTGAAGATCTGTGCGCAAGACTTCGAATCCCGACGCCGCTCAGCTACCTGCAGGATTCCTGGCTGGGTACCTTTGGACGACTCCGCAGCACGCGTGCAGCACTTGATTCAACCGATTTCCTGCATTTTCTTGATCTAGATAAGGTTCAAAGGCGGATCATGAAAGCTTTTGAGGTTCTGCCGAAGCCATCGTCTCAGGACCTTGATGCAGTTTTTCCCTGTCCATACTGTCCACATCTTTGCGCTACACAAACCTTGCTCAATAAACATATGTCCAAACGACGCAAAGCTAAAGGCCTTTTTGAGCGATTTGAAACACTAAGAGATTCGTTCGGAGGAAGACCCGAGTGCAGCCATTGTCACAGAAAGGTTGCCTCCTGGAGAGGCCTTGTCACACACATCCAACAAGGCCACTGCTCCTCTTTTGACCAAGCCATCGCCTGGCAGGTGGCACCTGCGGACAATGAGGAGTTTCGTGACTATGCCAAGAAGCAAGCCTGGCAAGCTCTTGTTGAGAACCTGACGTTCATTCAGGTGATTCGTGAACAATGTATCCTGTGTGGGCGCTTCTTTGCAAATGGGAAGGAACTGCTCCAGCACATCCACCGCATGCATCAGGCTTTGTGGGCCGCTTCGATGCACTACACTGCAGAGATCTTGCACTTCCTTCGAGGACTGAAGGCCTGCAGTGCCTGTGGAAAGGAAGTGAATGTTGCACACAGTTGTCATGCTGTTCGACAAATGGCGATCCTGCGGGTGCTAGTCAAGAGTGGAATCACCACTGCAGAAGCTGATACAGGTACCGTTCTGGTGGTACCTCCTCCTGTCCCAAATCCTGATCTACCACTTCCTGAAGCCTCCAAACGCAGGAAACTCAATGGCAGGATCACCAAAGCAGAGTTTCAACCTGGTCGTGATTCTGCAGATGGAACCCCCACATGTGCTCATTGCCATGCTGTTCTGCAAAATCACTTTGGATTGAAGTCTCACATTGAAGGTGGATGCCGCTCATTCCATGCAGATCGCCCCCTTGGCTCATATGTTCCATTGGGCTGGCCTCGACTGCAGGCTCTCATCCAGGATCTCGACATTGACAACATCTTGGCGGACAATGACTTTCTCACTGCATTGCAGGCACGCTGTGTCTTGTGTGGGCGCCTGTCGAGTAAACCTGGTGGGGTCCTGCAGCACCTTCAGCAAGAACATCAGGAACTGTTGAGCCTCTCACGGGATCTTGAAGACAGACTGCAAAACGAGGCTCTTGCTTCAGGTCGACAATGCAAATGTGGCAACAAATACACGAAGCGTGGACACAAATGCATGATCTATGCACAACTAGCAGTCCTGTATCACGCTCTTCAACCACGCTCTCAGGCACCGTCGGTCTCCGTGGACACGCAGATCCCGGCTCCTTCACTTCATGAGCCAGCTACCTTTTGGACGCGCGAATCCTGGCGTACCTGGCTCAGCACCACTTGCAGCGTTTGTCACATCAATGTAGAGTTGGACCAACTACATCAACACCTGCAACAAGTGCATGCTCATATGTATGAAGAAGCCCTTGGACACTTGGATCGATGCACTTCACCGAATCTTTTCTGCTGCAACTTTTGCTTGAAATCAGAAGAGATTGTAGACTGTCCGGTAGCTCTGAATCTTGCCTACCACATCCTCCTCAATGCCGCTGATCGAGTACGGAGTGGACGACATGATGGCTCAGATAGGGGGCACCTTCGGCTCCACGCTTCAGGAGGACGAAAGGCAGCCAGCCCACAACAGGTCAGATGGAAAACCAACACGGGACATCACAACCCTCCTCGGAACCCATCGTCCAGGCCCTGCAGCTCCTGACCACCTTGACATTGCGCCAGGAGGGCTACATCCAATCTCTTCAGACCTCGAAAGCCGGCTCCGAGATCTGGAAGGAGGGCATCACGCATCAGGTGATCACGGAACAGGGGTCGTGGCCCTATTTGGCGTGGCCAAGGAGAAACGCCTGGTCCCCATGGACAAGACCGCTCTTTCTATGCAACGTATGCAGAGCTTGATCGAGGAGATGGTGGAGTTAGCATCTCAGGGGGAATCAATCCTTCGGTTCAAGTCTCTCAAACCGGAGAGCAAAGACGGTGTGAAGTCACAGGTCAGCCCCTGGTTGCTACAATTGAGCCCCAGGAAAGAGCGCCTTCACGAGATCCTGACGCTTTTGACTGCTTCCTCCGTCTGGTGTCTAGTCATGGGTCGCGTCAGGCCCCACATCAATCGGGAGAATCATGCGGCAGCCCAGCTGATCAAGGTGTGCAACAGCCTGTCCAAGCGGAAGCCTTAGCGGGATGGTTGCAAATGGGGCAGCGCTATGTGGCAAGACTTTGGCCGTCTGTACCCGCTCATTGAGGAGCTCTTCACTCAAGAGAGTCTATGGATCAATCTCCAGCAGCTCAGCTGCTTGACACGTTCCTGTCGACCTGGGGGAACAGGCAACAGGACGCAGGGGAATTCCTTGCTGCCTTTCTTCGTTGGACTCAGCCTTTGTGTGTGCACCTCCACTGGAAAAGACGGGTGCAGATCGATCATGTGGTTGAGACCGCTGATGAGGGTTCAAGGTTCACACCACCGACCATCAGTGCTCCGGCCAATGTCAAAAAGATTGGCCTCCAACAGCTTGTGGACTCTTGGGCATCCTACATGGGGATGTCCACAGCGTTTGTGCACAGTGGCAGACTTGTGAATCTTCACCTCGACCGTTACTGCTCCGCGAACTCAGGTGATGTTCATCGACGTGATTGGGAATTGGACCTCCCGGATGTGGTGCTGTTGCCCGTTCAGGCAGAGGACTCACTCACCACTTGTGCCATCCCGTATGTGGTGATAGGAGGAATCCTGCGTAGGGGAGAGGATGCATCGGGCCATATTCAGGCCATTGGGCGGTCGAGGGAGGGCTGGTTTCTTTTCAATGACCGTGAGGAAGCCCGCTTTTTTCAAGATCCACCATTGCTCTCCAGCTGGGTCAGTGTTTGGATGGTGCGTGATGTTTGGACCCAGTTCATCACCCCCAAGTTCTGGCAGTTCGGTCTGGATCACGCTACGGACCAGATGACCCTACACCTGGACACTGAGGGATTGGACTGGGATGCATTCCAGGGTGACTGGATCCAGCGGCTGAGGGCGCACTGCAGCATTTGTGGCCGTCTGACTCTCTCGCACCGCGCCTTGGCACATCACGTTCGCGCCAGACATCCTGAGTATGTGCCTGAGCTCCTGGAGGACACCAACCGCCAGCTGGACAAGCGCCTGAGCTCCTTGCGCTGCTTAGGTTGTGGGATGAAACCAACACCAGGAGCTAGCCTGCGCACCAGTCACTTGTGCATTGCTGAGCTCAACCTGCATCTTGGCCGAACATACACGCATCGAGAGCTCCGCACTCGAAGCGGCTCCTATGGGATTCGCGATACTCCCAACCTTGCATCTTGGCTTGAACGTAACTAGCTGAGCTTCTGGTGCTGGCATTTTGCTGCTGCTTTGGCTGGCGGCTGCTTGGCGCCTTGAGCTTCGCATGATTGTGGATGCAGCTGCAGCTGGGCTTGCTAGCTGCCGATGCTGCTGTGCCGACTGAGGATGGCTCCTGTAGGACCCCCTTTTTGCTGAGGTGCACAGGAAGCCTCTCCAGAGCAGTTGACGCGATTTCTTTTCGCTCCTGACTCTGAGGTTCTTGTTTTGATTTTGATTTGAAAGGACGAACGCTATAGCGGCTTTTTTCGCCCTTGGCTCATTCCTTTAATTTGTGAAGGTGTGTAGGCACCCCGGTGCAATGTTCCCATGAGAGGAACCGACAGAACCTGTCGCAGCCCCGCAGTTTTCGGATGTCCGAAGAGCGAATCAAACTCAAACTCACAAAGAACTATCTATCTATCTCTCTCTCTCTCTCTCTCTCTCTCTCTGTCTGTCTGTTTGGCTGGCTGGCTGGCTGGCTGACTAGCTGTCTGTCTGTCTGTCTGTCTGTCTGTCTGTCTCTATCTATCTATCTATCTATCTATCTATCTCTCTCTGTCTGTCTGGCTGTCTGTCTGTCTGTCTGTCTATCTATCTATCTATCTATCAACTCACCCCCCAACACACATGAACTGAGACGTGCTAGACATCACTCATACAACCATGGACTCATCCACTCATCCACTCAACTCAAGTGGATCAACTTAGCACACAAGAAGCCACGCACACGACCAACAACTCACCACAGCAACCCATCTCACAGCTTTCAACTCCCTCTCCACAACACACTTCAAATCCACTCACATGTTCTCTACACGTGACTTTGTCTTTTTCTTCATCAGCTTGACGTCTGTGCCTATGGTAACGTACGGAAAACTACACTTGTGGGGTTGTCCGGTCCTTTGATTTTAAGCCCGCGAGCTCTGCAAATTTGGGGGTGGATGGGGTGTGGAGCATTGCAACATTTCATCACCATGTCTGTTCTTTGTGATTGGAATCGCTTTGCATCAACTTGTTTGACTTTCTGAACGCTTCCCTATGGCCATTTGTTTGAGTTTCGTGCAGTGTTGCACCATATGTATGCGGAGTCCCCTTAAAAAGACGATGCTGGAGCAGCGACACGCAACATGCGCAGTCATGCTTTATCATTTCACCCACGTGCAATTTGGATGTCAGGTCACAGCATGATTTACAATAAGTTTCGAAACGCCGCGCGTATACGTATACCGTATACGTGTTCATGTATTGGCCGAAAGGACATTGCCCCTTGATACTTTGCACTGGAAAGATAGGTGGAAACGATTGAACCAAGCTTCTCTTTCACCGGAACAAGCAATGATGATGTATATAGTTGTTCTTTAGCTGAGCGTCCAATCAACACTTAAGAAAAAGGGAGAGAACTTGGTTGAGCAAAAAGGCTGGTGTTCTCTCAGTCGTTAAATAGTTGCACACACACATATATATATATATTGTTTGTATTCCCACATGTATATATGCATCTATATCATCATTTTTTGAGTAAACTTGCAGCCTGGTAATGTTCAAAGTCAACGTGTCAATGGCAAATTTGAATGCCTGGCTTGGCATTTGATGGGGTTCAGGTGCATTCTGCTGCAGCACTGGGCGAATCTGCTGGATTCCAGGCTAAGCCATTTTGCAAGCCTGGTGCGGCAGAGAGTGCAGAGACTCCCTGAACCATTTTCAAGCTGTACCTTCCATCCGGCCGAATGAGCAAGCAAGGTTTCCACCCCCATGGCCACAGGACATTTTTGACTCTTTGGCTCTTCAAGAATTTGACAGGCGGGCGCCGTGAGCTGCTTGCGGGAGCTTTGGTCTGAGCCTTCAGATACTGACATGATCTCCAGCCCCAAACGTATGAAGACAGCGCACGTGCTCACACACAACAACAAAACGTTATATATATATATATGCGTATAATTGTATCAATTGCATATAGGCATATTATTTATGCACAAACAATGTGCATGTATATATATAGACGCATACATACATACATACATACATACATGCATACATACATACATACATACATACATACATACACACACACACAGACATACATACATACATACATGTCGCAATACATACATACATACATACATACATACATACATACATACATATACACACACATCTCATTATCTCTCTCTCTCTCTCTCTCTCTCTCCCCCCCTCTCTTTGTATAATACCCCGACACCTTCATTTGTGGATATATGCATTTACATCATACACATTAGTTTCTTTGTTTTGTGCTCACCAAAGGGTGCAGGAAACTTTCAGCGGTTTCTGGACTCTAGATTGCAGACGTTATTGCTTGGATTGCAATGACTGAGCCAGATCTACAGTATCTACATCTCTCAGCCGTTCATCTGCTCTTCCTGTTGGCATGTTCATGTTGCTTCAGTCACAGCAACAGTCTCACAGCTCATTACCGTAGTATATCTAGTCTATGTCTACATCTATATCCATTGTCACACATTTGCAAAATGTGGTCCATGGAGTATGCAAGCTCCTTGATGGAGAAGTTTTGGCCCAGTGTTAAGGCGGGCGGCATCCTCGCACCGGGCAGTGCCAATGCCTTCCAGAATGCCGTTTATCAGGCCAGCTGCAAAGGGTCGCATAAGGGCACTAAAGTGGTGTTTGATCAGAGCAGGATGCAAACAATGCAGGTGGAACGGTCTTTGAACGATGCGAAGAAGCCCGGTCCACAGCCAACAGACCTCGGGCTACTTGAGAGGCCCTTTGCCCAGCTTGGGTAGTTCTGTGTTGTTTTTTTGCTCGCATGGTGGCAGGGATTACTTGGAGAACCCTGCGGACACCTTGAACATAGAGGGCGCAGAAAAGAAGGGAGAACAAGGTGGGCTGATGGCCATGGCCATCACCATCACATGATTTTGTGTGCCCTTGCGTACCTGACGAGGGATTTTGAAGGAGTGTGGTGCAAGAGCGAAACTTGGCCAAAAATTCCAGTAACGCATCTCAACGGTTGGCAACCTCCCTGAGTCTGCATCGAAACATTCAGGAATTGCTTCTCGACCACGTACACCGAAGTTGTGGACAAAGGCTTCCACGACTTGCAACCATGGAGCTTGTGCCTCAGTTTAGGCGCCATGATAGCCCTTCTGGATTCGTGTGGGGTTGTGCCAGTACCGAAGAGCAAGGCCTAGACAGTTTCAAAGGGGTGAGCTGCCAAGGCTTTAAGGGCAAGACTCCAGACAATGCGATGCAGGAGGCAGTGTGTCCAGCTCAAAGAAGACTATGCATACTCTAAGTGCCTCAGCTGTGCGGAACTGTCCAAAGCTTGAAATTGTCACGGGAATGGACTTTTCCGGCAGAGTGTGCCATGGCAGGTGGCAGATGTAATTGCTGAATACCCTCCAGGGCAGAAAGGAATTGACGGAGGAGGCTTCTCTGTCAAGGCGGTGGAGCCTGGATACCTGTGTCTTGGCCGTGCAGGGCGGTTTGCAGCGAAGCAGATATTGCAATAGGATACAATAGGGAAATCTAGTTGGATCCTGCACTTGGAAGCAGTCTTGTGAAGGTGCCGCAAAGAGTTGCCCGAGAACATTTGCTTTATTTACAACCGAGGTATGTTCAGTTTGAAAGCTTGAAAAGGCCCGTGCATTCTCTACTCTATGCAAGACTTTCCCAAAACTACGCTGGTGTGCTAACCAAGTTTTGTCAGTCCATGCAAGGGGTCACCGTGACGATGTAGAATTTGCATCTTGGCCGATTAGTGTGCTACTTGGAAGAACATATGCTACAATATTGACAGCTGTGTGTAGGCATCCATCCGAACACACCTGTTGATGCACAGCGATGTTTCCTCTCCTCCAGCCTTGGATGCTGTTGTGACATGTGGAGGCAGTGATTCCTGGCACCAAAGAGAATGCCCGAGAAGGGCAACTCTATGTCAGAAGTGCCAGTCGACAGGCTTGGCTACTATTGCCAACTTAGTCCATGCACAGTTTCTGTGGGGTTGCAGGGCACCTGGGACTTTGGCGTGAATGCCATCCGCCTCAACAGAATCGCTGAGGACTTTGTGGCTTGCCTTGCTGTCCATGTCGTAGGTTGAGAAGAAGGGCATGAAGAAAGGCCTAGTCCATCTTACGGTGCTGACAGCTGCATGTGGAGGACTTGAAAAAGAAAGGCGGCTGGGACATACGCCCCATTGACCCTCGGTTCAAAAGGATTTGCCACTGACAAATGGCACACCTGGCCAATACTTTAGATTGTAAAACGCATGCCTTCTCTTTGCCAGAAGCTAGCTCATTCAAATGCAGGCTTTTGCAGAGAAGGGTAGAGAGAGAGAGAGAGTGTGAGACAGAGAGAAAGAGAGAACGAGAGAAAGAGAGAAAGAGAGGAGGAGAGAAAGAGAGGAGGAGAGAAAGAGAGAGGTGGAGACGGAGAGAGTTGCTAGCAGCTGCTAGCACTCGGAAAAGCTGGTAACCGAGGATGCCAAATCGCACCCTCGTTATTGGAGTCTAGGGCCTAGTCTTCCTTGGCAGAGTCCCTACCAGGCTTTGCGATTTATCTATGGAACTTGTGTCGCCCTTTTGATCTTGCGCCTGAGGTCAGAACTGCTACGCGGGGGATATTGGCCGGAAAGCTCCGATTGTCGTTCGGAAGGCGTTGCCTGTCTGTGAATTTACTGTACATTAAGAAACGATAAAGCAACAATACTGTATATATATATATATTCATTTGAGTTACTAATAGCGATGGCCTCCAACCTATTAGCGATGGCCTCCAATCTATTGGTGATGGCCTCCAACCTATTAGCCATGGCCTCCAGCCATGGCCTCCAACCTAATAGCGAGTTTCCAAAAAAGGCCGGAGGAGTCCGTGAATCATAAACCGTGAGCCAAGGTTTCCAGAGTACTGTACAGGGTATCCTCCTCAACAGTGACAGAGTGCCCGCCCTAGCTCTGTACAGTGCAATAGCTTGATGTTCCGCTCGGAATCCCTGGCTACCCCTTGCGCGTGGTGGTCCCACACTTTGGCACACAGCCTGCGTTCGCAGTCCTCCACCGGCACAATTTGAACTGGAAATGGATGGCAACAATGGCTGCTGTGGGCAGCACGTGGAGGTTGCTTGCCAAGTATGCTTGAATAGTTCTCACACATGGCGCTGACATGTGTGTACAAAAGAGTCCCGGCACTGGCACTGTCCATACACTTTGCATTCAACCAGCCTCCCATGTACTCGAGATAATGCAAGCAAATGCAAGCATGAAGTGAAGTGTGCAATGTGGTTCAAGACGTATTTTGGATATTGACTGGGCGTGGTAACAAACAATATGACATCACCCCAGGTATTTCTGCAAATTTCAACGCTTCAAATGAGCTCCTAGTCAAGCGGCAACCCAATTGTATATCTACTACTGTAACCGTTTGCTAATGACCGGACAAATGGTTTTGCAAGCACTAGCACGAGTGCCAAACAATTCAATAGCGTAAGAACTTGGACAAGTCTGATACAGAGAGAGAGAGAGCTGATAGCTGACTGTGACTATTCAACAGGTTGACAGCTTTCAACGACTATGTTCTGGTGAGCTACTGCCAAAGTTGTGCAAGCCCAAACTCTTGACAATTGGGCGATGGCAGCGATAAGCTGCAGAATTGGCTGCCATGTTCGAGATCTTCAACCCTAAGTACTTCTGCTTGGGGGGTGCAGAAGATACTTCAGATGAGCTGGATCTAACTGAGGGTGCCCTAAGGCACGAACACGAACAGATGAACAGCTCTCCACGTTGCAACTTTCTAGCTGAACGTGTCAGGTCAACTGCATCTGCCGGGCCAAGTGGACAAGAGCGAGACCAGAGCGTGGATTCTACAAGCAGTTGGCTTGGCCAGTTAAGATAATCAGCAACCCTGTCGTTTTGTTGCATGCTCATTGCCAGCCGTAGATAGATTCTCAGAGAAAGAGAGTGGTGCGAACTAAGAACGGAGTGGATCACTCCGTGCAACGCAGACGAAGCCAAGGTATTGAAGATGCAAAGGAAGGAACTCCAGGATTCCACTTAGCTGCTTGCCAGCGCCTAGGGTTGGTTTGCAAGGTTGCACAGCTTTTTGGAGGTTAGGGTGATGTTTTTCGCACCGACATGCCCGGTGTCAGATAAACCTACGGCGACTCACGCGTCTTCGGTCAAGCAGCACACTTGAGAAATTTGATGAAGAAGGAACTGACCGGCTAAAGCACCCGATGCATTTGCGGCGGGCTTGCACCGACGCACCTTGCCTTGAAGAACTTGCACTTGGGACCTGCTTGTTGGACCACCGACTGAACTTTCACGGGGGTGTGCCGAGGTAGTATGGTTGGGTTGCTTTTTTGCTTGCACTGCAGCTCTGGCGACCTTAAGCTTTGGAGTCAGGAGAGCTGGTCGGGGAAGAGTGAAGCCCGGTTTTAGGTAATTATAAGTGTCAAGGCCTTATGTGGGTGTGGCCACAGGGACTAGGAAATCGGTGATTCAAATCAGACATTCTCATCATTGAAAGCTTGCAAGAAACGGGGCAGCAACCGTAGCCACGACTCATGACTCTTCTGACCTCAAGTGACAGAGAAGGCTGGTGCATCATGCAGCCATGGTGATAGCCACCGCAGAGATGTGTCTTAACATTTTGTTACCTGGCTATCTCAACCTTTTTTGATACAACATTGGACCGACTGGCACTGGCGCGCGCCTTTCCCGTTCACCATGGTTAAGGCTTCCGGTAATTAACTGTCCACATTCAGACCAAGCATCACAACTTCGGCGTTTTGAGCCAATGCAGTCATTTTCTGTGAACCCCTATATACTATGTAACAGCTATCCACTACTTGTACATGTCTATTTAGCTACGGTTCACTAAGGCATGTAAAACACATGCTTCAACCGTCGCTCTTGGCTCAAGAAAACAATCGCATCCGCGTGCGTTTTCTTAGGGTGCCGTGTTGGTTGGGCAGTGTCCGACCGCACATTCGCGTTCGCTCTGCACTCGCTTCGCTCGTTCGTTCGTTGCACGCCACTTCGTTCGTTCGGCAACCCTCATTGTCCACCACGGGTTCTCGTCCTTCCGACTCGCCCCGAGTGGTCATTAACATAGACCGTGCATCCAGGGATTTGGCATACTTCTTCTATCACTTACCTGTTGAAAGGATTGCCTGGGCGTTCCCATACGTCCCACCTGGATTGTACACTCAATTGGTTATCAGCCGTAGCCGTGAGCTACAGGCAACATCACTCGACCCCGTTGAGCGGTCCATCGCGGCACGCTTTTCGTACCTTCACAGACCACCAATGGGCCGAGTCAATCCCCAGCCGCAAGCACCCGGCGCCGCAGCATCATCGGCTGCAGCACCAGCCACGGCGCCTGCTGGGGACCCTCAGGATCAAGAAGCACCTGCTTCCCCTGAGGGAGTGGTCGGAACCGCGCCTAGCGCGGAGACCACGGACCAAGAGTTCGGGGAGGCATCCGTGCCAGAGCCACCCCTTACTCCCCGTGTCGCCTCAGGCATTTCGTCCTCACAGCCTACATTCACGCCTCCAGGTTCAGAAACCGCAGGGGCGGATGAGGTCGACGATCTTCAGCAAGAAGAGCCTGTCGCAGAGCCGACCGCTGTCGATTTGCCACCCGAAGCCAGCACCCTTGGTGCTCTTAACGACGAAACCCCTCTTATCGAAGCAGAGCTCCAGACCGGAACCGCTGCCTCGCGCGGAGAGGTCTCGTCTGCTCAGGACGATTCGTTAGGCCCCCATAACGCCGAGGAACCGCCCTTCGATGCCTTCTCTTTGTTAGGCCCACCTAAGATAGAGCCCACCACTAAGGAAGAAGTAGAGGAGGACGTGTATGCCGATCCCTCAACCTCTCCCGTGGGCCTACCCCCACTGCATACTCACAATCATCCAACGCAGTTTGAGTCACTGGCCACTGACCCGGTCTTTGACGAAGCGGAGGTTGATTTTGGTGATGAGGAACCTGACGTCGATCCTGACGATCAGGCGGAACCCACCGCCAAGCAAGAGCAGCAGGAGGTGGACGTGGCTGACGAAGAAACCGCGCCCAGCGCGGAGGCATCACAGACTGCTTCAGCGGCCGTTGACCCTCAACCCAAGAGTACGCGCGGTGCGAGGGGAGGCCAGATGCACCAATTTGAACAATCGGACAAGAAGTATGCGATCACGTGTGACCTCATTGCAAGTCACTTGGCATCACATACCTATCGTCGAGTCGGCAAGACTTACCACTTGCCGTTCGTGAAACCGCTGTTAGCGGAAAGATTACTCTGAATGGTACAAATACGTCGTCTTTCATGCCGACTCATGGGCTGAGTCCCCCGACGAAGGTGACATCTCCGACGGGGCTCTCAAGGCTTGGGCAGCGATCATACCAGAATTTTGGTCTTGGTGCACACGTAATATGCCTGAGATATCGAATGGTGTTAAGCAACCCACCTATCGATTCCCGCCCGGGTACTATCAGAAAACCTATAAATTCATCCCACTCCGGCAAGTCCGTTCCTCAGCGGCGACGTCATCGCAGGCGCCAGGCGCCACCGCCAGCTCAACAAGCCTTTCCGGTAACGGTTCCGGCGCGCGCATTCCAGCCCGTTGTGGGCGCAAGCGCTGCCAGTTCGTCAGGAGGCTGGAGGCCGCAGCTGAGGCCTGTTGAACATCCTGTGCAACCCCGATCCCAAACTCCACAGGGTAATCCGAGATCTAGGTCCAAACCCGGACTCAGAGTCGGTTCGGCCTCCTCGTCCAACTAGGCCGTGCCCGAGGCCTGCACGTGAAACCGCTGAGTCACTCGCGGACACGGAACAGCCAGCGCGCACGGTTCATCTTGCCGATAGCTCCGAGCAGGCAGATGATCCCATGGATGGTGTTGGACCAGCGCAGGAGGGAGTGCCTAGTCCTGAAGCCGAGGCCGATCCTGGATATCCAGAAGGAGCGGAGGAGGAGGGCACAGTCCAACCGGACGACCAGGGTGGAACCGCGCTTGCGCGGGAGGAGGAGGAAGCTTTCGAGCCAGATCCGGTGGTCGAGGTTGAAGGCGAGGATTTGGAGACGGTTCGCACTCGTGCAGCCGACGCCATAACCCGAGCCGTAAGGTCCGGTCGGTTTAGGCGTGCACTTGCAACTGCAACTCCCCCTAATCCACCACCTTTAGACCCCGAATATCTGAATACTCCTCATAGGCCTCAAGATTTACCACCACATGTTAAACTTCGTAGGCCGCCCCCGACAAAAGCAAGCGCTCGAAGCCTGCCAGTACCTGCACAGCCCCCCAAAGCCGACGCTCCTCAACCGGAGCCTAATCAGCCTAAAGGGGCACAGCAACCGCGTCAGCGCGGATTTGTTAGGCTTCAGCATGCTGCGCGTGAACCACCCGCGCAGCCCATTCCTATGGAAACGGCTCGCGACAGTGTCTACGACCTCCCCGACCATGTGTGGAGGACTCGCCCCACTAGAGAGCCAGGTAATCTCACGGTGCCACAACCTGAATTGTTGGTTCATCCCAACACAGAAGTGCGTGCCATGGACGATGACGATGAGAATCCCCCACCCCCAGTGGCTAAGCCCCAGGCTACCGCCCCGTGGCGGAGGGCACCAACTCACGCCATCGAAGCTGAAGAGGCCCCGGAAGCTCCGGCTCCAAAGCCGCGTGCCCGGGTGAACCCTCCTCCGCCGAAACGCACTCGTGTCGTATTCGCATCAACCTCACGAGTTGTGTTAAGGCCAGGTCCTGGCGCTTCTCAGGAAACCGCGCCCAGCGCGGAGCCGTCGTTCGCGGAGCACACAAGGGGCACCTCGCCCGAAGGGTAGTAGCCGAGTACGACTCTGGTGAACCTCCGGCCCAGTCTCCATCAAGAACTTCGGTAACTGTGACACCACTAGTGGACCCAACTCATCGTACCCCTAATCGTAATTGGGCAGACCAATCGCTCGATGACAACCCGGACGATGAGCCAACAGATTCGGGGGCAGCTCCATCCGGATCCTCAAGATCTAGGACACCGCCGCCAATACCCATGGTGGTTAAACCCCCGCCTCAGTGCATCCGGGAAGACCCGTCTCAGCGTAGACCGCAATACGTTGAATCGGGACGGGTGGAAGAATTCCTGCCTTACGGATTCTTCACAACACCTCCTCCTGGACCCCCAAAACCTCCGCACCGCCGCCCGCGGCTCAGGTGCCGAAACCCAAGCCGATGCCTGAACGACCGCCGCGGTCTTCGAGCCCCGCTCCCGCCACAGTCGCTCAGGACGCAACCGGCAGAGGTAGAGGTCAAGGGTACCCACCACCTCCTGCACCCTCTGAAACCGCGCCCCGCGCGGAGGAGGATCCTGCAGAGGCAGAACCAACTGGTGGCACCTTAGCGCCCCCAACCTTCGGAGACCCTCCGCCTCCGAACCCGCCACAGCAGGACGACGATATGCCACTCCCTCGCAATCGTTACCTCGAGCTGTGGCAAGATGCGAATCACGTCTTCGGTCAACAGATGTGTGACCCAATGACCCCAACGCTACCCGGTCAAGCCCATAACATCGAGGTTGGTCTAGATTTCCATAAGGTTCTAGATGCAATGTTGGTGCATAAGCTTGAAGTCCCCACACGACAGTGTGTTGATGCTCTTGCCAATCTCGAGCGCCTCGGCGCACGAATAACCATCATATCCTTCACGGGACATGAAGGTTACGCAAGAGCGGCCTCCCAAACCGCACACTTTCGTGACTGCGTTCGCGCAGCTGGACTCCAGATGGGAGGGGGGAATCTTTCTTACCAACTCCCGAACTGGGCCGGAAGGCAAAACCCCAATCGTCACCCGATTGGGGATTTGCGCGTACGTCGACGACGATTCTGATATCATCAGTGAGGTACGCCGCACCGGCTGCTACGGCTACCTCTGCGACGCTACGCGCCTTAACCAACCCCATTCGGTTTTGCTAGACTTAGCTAATATGATCCGCTCTTCCGGGATTCACAACTGGAAGCTTGCGCATCCTCGACCTTTGGCGTCCGACCAATTTTCAGGCGAGCCCAACCCACGGGGAGGAGGCCGCCGCCGACCCAAAGCTCGATAGGGCCCTACTTGCCAGTAACCGCTGCTTTGCGCGGTCACTCTTCGTTCGCAGGACCATTAGCTAGGTTGAGCGCAGTGAAACTTCAATCTCAATACCTTCAATTGAACATTAGGTTATGCAAACAATTTTCTTTCAGTGCACTCGTTCTTCACCACGCAACAGCTGCCACAAGGCGCTGAAGTGGTCTGGACTTTTCGTGTAGCGAGAAAATAACTGCACCTGCAGTTGGGTGGGAACCATGGCGAACCATACAGGGTTTTCCCCGCCTGATGATCCCCCAGGTGAACGGTCTAGGTCCTCCCCTGAAGA